TTTATAAATAATGAAAATAATAAATTTATTCATCATAATAAATTGGTAAAAATATTCACAAATATCACTCTGTCACAGTGGTAATGGAGCAGAAGGAAACAAATGACGTTTGATGACCCTGCAGCGCATTGGGAAACAGTTTATTTTAATGTAGAATTAGGAGTGAACCCTTCACAAATTTTGAAATAAATACAGTCAGAAGACAAAATATTACTAGAATATCATTAGACTTTTAGTACACAAATAGCATGGAAGATTTTTACTCCAGCGTTTTGGAATTATGTCTCCTTGGAAAAAAAAACACACGGACAAACAGAATGACGATTTCAATAAAGACCGATAAGATTGCATATTTATCTCATATTTTCATCAATACTCCTAGATCCTGTATTTTTCCGTTCGCTCACTGTTCGTTCAGCGTGCGTTCACCGTTCGTTCACCGTGCGTTCACCGTTCGCTCTCCGTTCACAGTTTTGCATTCACCGTTCACCGTGCGCTCGCGTTCACCGTTCACAAAGCGTTCAGCGTTCGCTCTCCGTTCGTTCACTTTGCGTTCAGCGTTCAATTATCGTTCAGTCTTCAGTGTCATTCGGAACTCCGAAGTGAAAGGACTTATCTTTTTTAAGTAAGGATTTTAAGTAAGGATTTACGGGGTTTTTTAATTTAATAATTTACATAACGTGTTTAAAGAATCATTATTTCATGGGGAAAAATTATCCACAATATTCTAACTCATTATTTTTTTTTATTATTCTAACTTAGATATAAGGCTATTTATTAATTTACTCTGGAAAATAAATGTTGGTATAAGTATGTTCCAATGTAGAACTATGCTGAAAAATTAAATTTTAACACGGGCAATATACAGATACTTCAAGCACTGCAACATTTTATAATTATGTTAAAGACGACAAATCGTTAATGGAGAGATAATTATCCAAGTCAAATAATTACGCAGCAAAATTACGAAAATATTTATTTCTAACTTATTTCTAACACGTTGTTTGGTTTTTTTTTTCAATTAATACAGAAATATATAGAACTAGTTCTGAGAGTTATACATAGTACTGCAGATATCCTGTTATTTTAATATCTTTGGAGCGAATTAAATTGACAGTGTGGTTAAAGGAAATATCTATTTAAAATGTAATACACTACAGAAAATTCTTTACTATAATATATAAAGTCTATAGCTATTGAGAAAAAATTCTATCTTCACCGTAACTTTATATGTTTGCCATTCGATATGATTAATAGCAGCCACCCCCCCCCCCACCCTTTTTTCCCCTAAATCGGTTACTTAGTCAGTATTTCCAGTATATTTTAAACATTTAAAAAGAAGTTCATGTGTTTTGTAGCACAAAAATTTCAGTCTCAAAACAAACATGCATCTAAAAAAGTCACTAAAAAATGTAGTTCAAAATGTACAAGTGTCGGCGGTGGTATTTTAAACTGGCAGAGAGTATGTTTCAAATCCAAGTGTTAATGCCCAATGTATTTTGATTATTTATTTATTATTGAAAGGTTGGAATCAAATCTAGAGATGATAAAAATAAATGTTAAAACTTGTTGGAAACACTCGCACTTCGGCTTCTGCGTGACGAGACTTTCACACCTGCACAGTATCGAATGATTTTGATTGACAGGACAAGCACGTGGACTTCGTGTAAACTTGAAGCAGGAAAATAAAAACGAGTATGACTGTCAAACAGATGGATTAAAATTTTGTTGATAAAAAAATGTTACTTTCACTGTCTGATACATTTAGAAAAATAATTAAGAATTTTTGTTTGATATAGGTACAAACATTTAGTGAAGCCTGAAAAGGGGGGACTAAAATGGAATCCCCCCTCTCTCTCTCTCATTTGTTTAATAAAAAAAATTGACAGCATATTACTTAAATATCAAGTTCTGAAAATTTAATTTATAGCAAAAAATATGAATATGCCTCTTCGTATTATCTTGTCCGAGTATAATCACGGGGAAATATCTACAGGTACATATAGAAGTCTGCTCAATAAATCATCATGGAAAATAGAAATGACACATAAATATATTATTGCATTAAAAATTTAAATACGAGCGTATTTATACAATACGTCAACTGACCTTTGTAATTTTTTTTTCATTATTTTACACGAAATCGCCTTGGTACTGAAATATATTAATGGATGTTAAAACCGTTTTAATTCATTCTATAAGTCAGAAGTTTTCTCTCATTTGTAATGGTTTTTTATATCAAATAAGAATAAACATTTTTATTTTCCAACTATAATAATTTTATCTTTTATACTACAGCGTTTGGCAACAATTGCAATGTTTTACAGCGATAAAAATCGTGTGATTAAAAACTTAATGTGCATTAATTTTGGAGCATTTATCTATTTATTCATTTATTGGTTTGTTTATTTATTTATTCATTTATTTTTTGGCACCTGACATTAGAATACAATAAAATAGATTCAATGCAAGGAAAAGATCAGAGGCATTCCGAATAATTCGTTCATCTTGCGTTCACCGTTCGTTCACCGTTCACTTTGCGTTCGCGTTTGCGCTCCGTTCGCGTTCTGCGTTCGCTCACCGTTCATCGTTCACCAATATATATATATATAGGAAAATCCATAACTATCCCTACTAATTCAGGATATAAGAGAAATCCTCGCATGTGAGTTAAGGCTAGGTATAGGCGTTTTTATGCAAATGAGCTAATAAAAATGCATAAGAGGTATATTTATAATCCAGAGAAAGTGTTGATTTATTTTCTTATGCATACTTAGTACCCACGATATGTTATAGCCAGTCCACATTATGATGTCATATTATGACGTCATTGATCTTACCTACTGGATGTAATGAAAGAAATCAACAAAACAGCTTCGGCGCAAGGGATTACCCTATTTATTTTTACATCAAAATTGTTTAATTCTAAGAAGAATATTCTATAGATTAATAAAACTGCTGCACAAATCTTAGGCATTTTCTCATTTGATTGGAATATGAGGAAACTTATACCGGACTGTATATTTTTACCCTTATTCAACTTAAACTTTACATTTAGAAATTATACAACTAAGCTGTTGATATTTGTGCAGCAATAGCAGCAAACTTTGGAATAATTTGCTTCTAAATATACTTTGTTTCAGTTAAATAAAATAGAGCATGCCCTTGCGCCGAAGCATTTTAGTTGATATCCATTATAATCTTGTGTAGTAAAGAACAATGACGTCATAATATGACGTCATAATGTGTACTAGCTATCACATGTCGTGGGTACCAAGTAAGTCTAAGACAATAAGTTTTAACTTTCTCTGTTTAATAGATATAGTCCTTAGGCATTTTAATTACATTATTTGCATAGAAATGCCTATGCCTAGCCTTAACTCACCTACTCTTGGTTTTTTTTTAAAAATTATTTAACAACCTCTCAGCTGAAAGTAAACAAATCTACAACAGCTCGATAGGGAACTTGCAAATTTGAGTACACAAGGGAAGGGTTTTCTTGTCACTCAGGATCTTTTTCACGCATGAGTGAACAAAGTAGTCCCAGAAAGCAGTCTCGGGGACTGTTGTGACTGCAAGGTTTGCTTTCTAGAGCAGTCCCACTTTTTGAAAGGAAAAAGGTGAAGATAATGAACCTTGATCGATCTCAAAAACCTATAAACAGTACAAGTCTGTGAAGAGGGCAAAAAATACGGACGGACACGCCCCTTTAGAAAGCATGACTCCTCTCTCGTTGACCAAATACATCGCATAAATCAATAAGAACAAAATTTAAGTTTAAAGAAATATCCACCGATGATTCAAATTTTGCATGTTGTGATTTGTGAATGGTGGAGTGGATCGCTTTCCTTTATGATATAATATGTATTTAATATGTCCTTGTCTAGCAGGTAACCTCAAACTGATCCACATCATTACCTCAGTATATCATCTTGTCTGATAAATCTTCTGACAGAAATGAATATAGATTATAGACTTATAGTTTACATTTACATCCAAAGAGAACAATCTCGAATAAAATGCTGTCATATTTTTATTAAAACAACAGGCACAAATTTAATTAATAAATGAAAATGAATTATACTTATCAAAATTCATAAGTACCGCAAAACTAGACATGTCAAAACATTAAACACGTGGATGAAAAAAAGCTGCCTTGATGTTCACCATCACTCTGCAACGTCACATATTTATGACGCAATAAGCATCCTTTTGTCATTGGTGAAATCATATATGATAAGAAGGTTCAACTGGTACGGTAATAGTGGTTGGATACATATAGTGAAACACTCGTTTCCTGGAGATACGAAGGTCTTTTATAAGCAATGCAAATTGTGATCTAAAAATAAGAAAATCACAAAAAGCAGTTTCTTTATAATTTTAATGCTTCAAGCTTTTCACGTCTAAGGTCAATGTATTCATGATCAGAGCACTGATGAATAGAACTCTCCTGACATACCTAAAATTGTAAATTCTTCCTTTGATTGTTTTCCTGAGTTTTTGGAATGAAAACATCTCACAATGACCAAGATATAGCGAATTTGGAGGATGGGTAAACTCTGTAAAAGTACCTTTCTTCAGAATTCTCTGTGCTTCCTATGCTTTTTCGCAGCAGCGTTGTCAGGCACAAGAGAATTAACTCGGGGACAGGTATTTGGACGTCCCTTACAGAAAAGCTGCTGAACTTTCCTCACTGCAATGTTAATATAAAAACTACCATTTATGGCCTTTCTTGATGTAGGTTCGTGTAATATCGGACCTCTTGACTAATGTGAAAACCTGTATAAGACATGGTTGGAGCTCTGGCTTCTCCTTGCAATAATAAGACCCAGCTTTCTCTCTGATTCCACTTTTAATAATTGTTCTTCCTTTTATGCAATTAAAATGCACCAATGTTTTGATACCCATCACCGATGGAAGAAAGCATGGGGTGTCGGTGATTATGAGTTCTTAAATAGTACTTCAAAACTATGGAAAAAGAAAATTAAATGCTTCTTTATTTAATACGATATATCGTAGGAGGCGTTGCTTATTGAACGACCCTCATACTTGTACAACTTTATCATGTTATTACGCTGCCCCAGATACAGGTTTTGCTTCTCGTCTACACACACAGCCAGTGGATGGCGTATACCATGTTTTCTTGTCAGCACGAGACGAAGAAACCGACACTCGTGATCCAAGAGATGTACACTAGGGTTTTGGTAAGCATCATCACATACTAGTACCTGTCCAAGGATATCGGTACAGATACCATAAGGCTTGAAATCAGAATAAGGTGTTTGACCTCTGTAGTAAAATCGTTCTCGTTTTAATTTATCCACCACAACCACGGCTTTTCTCACCTCGTCAGAGACCCATATATCTCCATTATTATTTTCTGTGATGTATATTGGGTAATAAATACCCCGCCTCAAACCATTCATAAAGTCTAATATCTGCTGTCCCGTCCTGTCATACCTTATCAGTGCATCTTCACAACCCAACAGTATGTCACCATTGATGCGAGAGGAGTGGACACAGAGTAATTTTTCACATCCTTCTTTCGCTGTGATGAGTGTTGTGTTGGTTCCTTTGGACGTCACCTCCTGTACATTGTTATAGTCATCAATAAATAAAAGACTCCCATCCATTGTTACTGTGTGAAACCCTTTTCTGCTGGTGAATGAAAGTAAATGTGTTTTTGTTTTCTCTATTTCGTGTCCGGAGAAGTCAACCTGAAGTAGCCATTCATTATCACTGACCCAAAGTTTTTCAGATGTTACATAGGAGATATGATAAACACCATTAACTCCGGGTATGGTAATACTGGAAAATGATGCATCTATAAAAACAAAAATATTCAACTTGAGAACGCAATTTATATCTTATATATAATAAATAAGTAATATCAAAAAGTAAGCAAGGTTCGTTATATACTTCGTCTCTACATATGGTTATTCATTGTCCCCAATGCACGTTCAGTATTTTTGTTAATTAATTGCAAGTATTCTCAGTAGTTTTTGTTATCACGCGCAGTGTATTGTTGTACATAGAAATAAGCACTATTGAAGTTATCCGATTGACTCAGTATCAAATAAATACACTGAAAGAACAGGAATACGAAATATCTGGAATTGAGCAAGATGTTTAATCAAAATCAAATTTAAAAAATATAGGGGCTTGATAAAGCATTTACTGGACTCTGCAATGTATCTTAGTAAGGATTTTCATGAAGTGTTGGATTCTAAAATTCAGAAATTATATTGAGCCTTAAAACAAAGACATTTTTTCCTACTTGCTTTGTCATCTGGAACCATTACTTATTTGTAGAATACATCTCATGCATACATTTCCAAAACATTTATTCATCCCTCGTTTTTATATTGCTACGAAGTAGAATTCATTCAAAAACTGCTACATGAGGGAAAAAAAGTGTAGTGGTTTTGGTTTTTATTTATAATACAAGTATTTGCTGGTATTTCAGTATGATAATTCTGTTTACCTTATGATTTCAGTTGTTATTTACGTAAAACGCCTTTAGTACATGTATTTTATAAGCTAGGTCATGTGTTGACATTCCACATGTTTTACTTTTAAACAGGAAGTGTCATCCATGTTGGCAGTCTTTCCATAGTACTTTTGGTAGCTGTGTTCTGATTGGTTCAGTGAGCCATAGGATCTTTGATATTTATTGACTTTTATTTTTGGGCCTATAGCTAGGGTATTTACAGCCGTTTTCAAACAGGTTACTTCACTTGGGTTGGGGAACACAGCCTTAGGCCTCATGGTTTAACAGCACTATTTACTTAGTACCTTTTAATCAGTGCTAACATCTCATGATTTAACAGCATTCAAAGTCTTAGCTAGGTTTAGTTTTTCACGTTAGTTTTTTTATTAAGCTAGGATGTAAGTTTTATAGAGTAAATTTAATTTCCCCTTTCCAAGTCCCGCCTGGTCTAGGGATATGTCAATAACAGGTATAATTTCTAGAACCACTATTCAATATCTATTATTATTAAGGTCTTACGTTTCAGTCGGAAGACCTTATAGTGATTGTACTGTTTATTAAGGTCTTCCGTTTCAGACGGAAGACCTTATAGTGATTCTACTGTTTATTAAGGTCTTCCGTTTCAGACGGAAGACCTTATAGTGATTCTACTGTTTCTTATTATTATTAAGGTCTTACGTTTCAGTCGGAAGACCTTATAGTGATTCTACTGTTTATTAAGGTCTTCCGTTTCAGACGGAAGACCTTATAGTGATTCTACTGTTTCTTATTATTATTTTTTCCCCCTTTTCTTGTCGGAGCGATTTATCAGAGATGGCTGGACGGATTTTCTTGAAATTTTCAGGGATGATAGAGAATAAAAATACGCTTAGGCGTTTTTTTCATTTTTTCAAAAATCACTTCCGGTCGTCAGATATGTCCGATTTCCGTTTTTTTCAAAAATATTTTGTCCGAGTGAGAACTCAGAAACGGTAAGAGATTAAGACACCAAACTTATATGAGTAATAGATCTTGAGGAGTAGGCAAATCCATTTGGGTTAAGAGCGTCAGCCGTCACTTCCGGTCGTCACAGGAAGTGATCAAAGAAATCGAATTTTTTAAATTTTCTTTTTTGATTTTTTTCTTTCGTCACATTGTTGCATCTTATTTGTAGTTTCGAAATATGTCAGTCCCACCGGAAACAAAAACGACAACTTCCGGCTATAAGCGAAAAACTGCATAATTTGAGTATTTTAGGTTCCCATATATATTTTTTATAGATAATGTATTTGAACTGATTTTTGAATATGTTATCAAGACTGCAAATGTCTAGTGCAACGTCAAATATCTGTAAAATTCACTTCCGGTCGCACGTTTAAATGTCCGCAAAACAAAAACTTGTCCGAGTGAGATCTCAGAAACTGTAAGAGATTTAGACACCAAACTTATAGGAGTATTAGACCTTGAGGAGTAGACAAAACCATTTGGGATAAGAGCGTCAGCCAACACTTCCGGTCGTCACAAGAAGTCATCAATGAAACCAAAAATTTAAACTTTTCTCTTTTGGAATAAGACTTGAATCATATATTTGTTTCTATTTCACAGTTACGATATGTATTGGTCCCACCGGAAACAAAAAACGACAACTTCCGGTTATAAGAGAAAAACTACATAATAGGGGTTTTTAATTTTCCCAGACATATCGTTTAAAGATAGAGTTCTTTAAATGATTTTTATATATGTTATTGAGACTGCAGATGTCTAGAGGGACGTGAAATATCTTCACTTCCGGTCGCGTGTTTTCTTGTCCTCAAAATGAAAAGTTATTTCAGCGAGATCTCGGAAACGGCATGAGTAAGACACCAAGCTTATAGGAGTAAGAAACGTTAGTGAGAAGGCAAAATACATAGGGTTAAAAGCGTCAGCCGTCACTTCCGGTCGTCACCGGAAGTGATCGAAGAAATCGAAAATTTCAACTTTTCTTTTTAAAATTAAAACTTTCATCACTTTATTGCTTCTCTTTCGCTGTTTTGAAATATGTTAGAAAAAAGTAATTTAAAGTTAATTTGTTTCTACATACGTTTTAGGCTAGTACCGAAGTTGGAAAAGACATGTTCATGCAAACAGGAAGTAGTATAACGGAAGACCTTCTCATTACTAGTAATGAGTTTCTAGTTTTTATTATTATTATTATTATTATTTTCCCATTTTTTGTCCAAGCGATTTCTCAGAGATGGCTCAATGCATTTTCTTGAAACTTTCAGGGATTATGACAAATAAAATAAACTCGGAACATTTTGAAGGATTTTGCAAAATTCACTTCCGATCGTCAGATATGTCCGATTTCCGTTTTTTCAAAAGAGATCATGTCCGGACGATATCTCACAAACGGTAAAAGATTAAGACTTCAAACTTTCAGGGATAATAGATCATGACAAGGACAAGTACGTTTGTGGAACGTGTTCAAATCCGTCAGCTGTCACTTCCGGTCGTCACAGGAAGTGATCAAAGAAATTGAAAATTTCAACTTTTCTTATTTTAATCAAATCTTACATCACTTTATTGCATCTGTTTTGCAGTTTCGAAATATGTTGGTCCCACCGGAAACAGAAACGTCAACTTCCGGTTACAAGTGAAAAACTACATAATTTGAGTATTTTACTTTCCCATAAATATAATATAGATGAAGTATTTGAAATGATTTTAGATATGTTATTTAGACTGCAAATGTCTAGAGTAACGTCAAATATCTTGGTAAAATTCACTTCCGGTCGCGTGTTTTACTGTCCGCAAAACGAGAACTTGTCAAAGTGAGATCTCAGAAACGGTAAGAGATTAAGACACCAAACTTATATGAGTGATAGAGCTTAATGAGTATGCAAAAACCTTTAGGTTAATAGCGTCAGCCGTCACTTCCGGTCGTCACAGGAAGTGATCAAAGAAATCAAAAATTTCAACTTTTCTCTTTTGAAATAAATCTTGCATCATATAATGAATCTCTTTCACAGTTTCTATATGTGTTGGTCTCACTGGAAACAAAAAACGACAACTTCCGGTTATAAGAGAAAACTATGTAATTGGGATTTTTAACTTTTCCAAAAATATCGCTTATAGATAAAGTTTTTGAAATGATTTTTATTTATGTTATTGAGACTGCAATTGTCTAGTGTGAAGTCAACCATCTTAGAAAATGCACTTCCGGTCGCGTGTTTTTCTGTTCTCAAATTGAGATTTTGTTCACCAAATTGCTCAGAAACAGTACATTGCTGAAGTCTAAAACTTTCAGAACTGATAGACAGTCCTCAGTTTATCTGCATCATGTAAAAATCGTACGTTGCCGTCACTTTCGGTCGTGACAGGAAGCGATGAAAAAAGTGAATTTTTAAAGTTTTTTTTCTTTTTCCAGAAATGTTTGGCTAATACGGATGTTAGATAGACTATAACAATGCAATTTATTTTCCCCGGAAGTGCCAACCGAAAAACCGGAAGTTGTCTCAAACATGAGTAGTTTTTCATAGAAACTTTAAGGGATGATCAGTTGTGAATAATTTAGGTGTAGAATGAACATTTTATTCGTTTGGAGCACTTTCAATCATGACGAAGTACATAAAGAAAACAGGAAAGTAATTCTGATTTTTTTTTTTAATTGTATTTACATATCTTTGGAAGGCGTGAGATAACTTTTGTTAATTATTTAGGGTAATCTTATTGACAAGATTGTATTTCTTTTTCCCCAGAAGAAGTCAAGAAAACGGAAGACCTGTTATTGCCTAGGCAATAAGTATCTAGTTATTATTATTGTTATTTACTATAGATTATTTTTCATAGATTTTCCACATTCCTCCCATTTTTCTATTACATTTTTCATAAACTATCTATTTATTTATTGCGATTATTGTATATTATTTACTAAACTCGCAAATTAAATTATATTTTTGATAAACTTTATTGCAATTTTCAAGACTTAACTCTTTGTTAAATTTTGATCATTATTTATTATTTTTTTATCAGTTACAAATGTTTATTTTTCACTTTATTAAATTTATAAAACTAACAACAGCGTTTTCGTTTAGTGTTGATCATAGTTCAGAAATTTCCTTACCTGGGTTGATAATCATAACTGGAGGTAGTTTACCACTTTAAGCCAAGTTGGCTAGTAACTTTGACAATTTATTTACTTAAGAGTTCTTCTTCCGGTTACAAAAGAAAACACTTGTTGTAGTCTTCCACTCGACTTTCAAATTTATCAACGACGCTTTATCAATTACGAATGGCTACTTTCATTCATATGTCGACTCGATATCTCCGAGTGAACTTGAAATAAAAGACACCACAGAGTCTGACACATTTGTTTT